GTTCTAGCACAAATGTCCCGCATAATGTTTTGCTATTTACAGAAAGTGCAATAAAATAAATTCAACCTTCTGAGGGCAGTTATTGCATATCGCAAAAATTTTCCAGTCCTCAACAGATTTACTGGTACCACCCTGCAAATGAATTATCTTGTCTGCACCACGAAGCATCAGCACTCGGCTCCCTTCTTTTCGCCATGCTTCACACACCCTAGAAAGGAGCAGTTTTTATGCGTTTTTGCATACATCCAAACGCATATTGGGACTATTTGCAAGGAAATTTTCAACCTTTATTTTCTTCGCGTGAAGTAAGAATTTTTGTTTAAAAATTTCAACCAGAATTGATTGGTAGGAAGGATTGAAAACTTTGCAAAATGCACAAGTTCAGGACTGGCTGCGAGGCATTTGTAGCGGAAGTCCCGCGGCAAGCAGCAGGAACTGAAGTGTGTTCTGCAGAAGATCACTATGTTTGCGGAAGGTCACAGAGAGTAATACGCATGGAGCGGCATACACACAGATCACAGGTTGTCCAAGGATTACGGTAGTCTTATGTGTAGCGCATCACGTCCGAATTTGAAGAATAGTTTTTTTAGACTCCCTACCAGCTTGTAAACTATTTCGAAAAGAGGTTCTGTTCGCGACAGCAACAGCCAAATCTTTGGGCTTTGAGAAGATTTACTGCAGCAAAAAAAGAGCACAAAAGTAAAGGCAGTGAGGCCAGTCTTGCCAGCGAGTGGTAGCTGTTGACACTTGCAACCATCGGAATTATACTTAGAGTCTCTGCCACTCATAGTGAGATAGTGCAAAATGGTGTTTTGACTTATGACTCTGATACACAAATGTAATTATACAATCTTTGCAAGAGTTGCGCAGTTGTTGTTACTAATCGTGCGCTTCCGAGAGTCTCTATTCTCTCCAGAGAGCGAGTACTAGGAGTTTTTGAGCCATCGTTCCCACATAAAAAGTAAAACGGGAGTTAGCGGCTGAAATTGCCAGTAGTCATCAATATGACTTTCCCAGTCGTTAAGGCGCCTTAATAAGGTCTAGAAAATGAAATTCGACATAGACATCAAGAAGATTTCCAATTAGTTAATGCA